ACATCAGCCAACTCGTTCAAATTTGCACAGAAAAATGCGTTTTGTTAGACTGGAATGTAGGTCAGGTCTTTTGATGCAATGCATTGTAAATGATTGTGTTGCATTGTGCTGTTCTACAATACGTGATCAGTAGTCATCTTCTTGCCTGTCTCTTAGTTTACTGTACGCTTTATAGTTCTTCTGCTTAACAGATACAATCCTATTTACCAATCAACTACACCTCTCTGAGCCGAAGAGGTTTAATCCCTTTGGTTGTTTCTGAACTTCTTCTATAACCTCTTTCCTCCTCCTCTCCCCTTTGCGATTTATGTCCTGTTCTCTTTAATGGAGGTTTTGCTCTTGTGGTGATCACTTACATTTGCCACAGCTCCGCTTTCTTTAATGTCATTGGTTCATAAATATATGATACTTACTATATGACAATTTTGCCATCGCACATTATTTGAACTTTTCTTTAAAATCACGGATTGGTCCATTTCCTGGCCAATCGCGTATTTTAGTATTTTTCTAATATTTTTTGGCGCCAAGCTCACTTGAGCCTATGCATACCTATATAAACTCTCTCGCTGTTAGCCAACAGCAGTAGCAGTTCAATTCTCTGAATATATGACACGGCGCTATATTACTTAAAACATTTTAATTCTTAGTTATCACTCATTCGAGTAATCTTATTAACTTCTATTAATATCACTTGTGCACATTACATTTTTTCACACTCACAAACAGACTGTGAAATTATTCTTCATTGAGCTAAGAACATTAATTGAACTTTATAATTAATTAACATTTAATATTGTAACTCAACATTACTTAACTGCATTCACCCTTTTTATTACAGACAAAAGGGAAGTAACTTTTTCATGCTTATTGTTGATGTTTGTATATTGTTGTTATAATACAAATATTTATTTAATGTTCATGGAGTTTGACTTATTTCTCTCATATATTCTGTGCATATTTCATGTGGAGTGTTGTTTATAAGAACACAGTTTTCCTTCTTGATTGCTATTATATTTCACGGTGACCCTTGCCAACATATCTTACAACACCACAACACTCTCATTTCTTCTTCTTCCGTGTTTGAGTCACTTCTTTTATTGCACTATCCTGATCTGTAGATCTCATCCTTTCTTCTCTGTCAAGGTCTTCCTCCATTACGGCGTAGTGCTCTTCAAGTCTGGGTCTTAATTGATCAAAATGGGCAATTAGGATTTTTTTCCTTTCTTTGATATAATGGTCATGTTATGTCCCATTTGCATGATGAAATGACCTCTCGCAGCACTTGCTGCTTTTCAAATTTTAGCTCTAGCCTGAGCTGCAAAGCACCGGATCTCCGTCTCAATAAATTCTGGTTCCTCCAAGCGACTAAAACATACTACCGGCGACGCCATATTGTTGCGTTTTGTTGTGTTTTTGTACAACACGTGATCTATAGTGAACTTCTGCCCGTCTCGTAGGTTACTATACGCTTTATATCTCGTCTACTTAATAATCATATTTATAGATTGTAAAACTGTTGTGCCTTCTTCATCCGGGGAATTCCTCAGACCTCTATCCGTAAAATCATAACCGGAATCGTTCTTTTACGATGGAAAACACGATTTAACTGAAAGACAATATAATACCATGAAATCCCTTAAGAAGTTCTCTCGAAATGAAGTGCCAGATTTTATTAAAAATCACATTAATAAAATAAAATAAATTCGGTAAAAAATTGAATTAACCTTACGCATATAAAACTAAACGTGTCTGACGCCTCTCGGTATTAATCGATTTTCATTTTTAATTAATATTGATATCGATTATGGCGCAAAGAAATTGCATAAAATTCCTCGATTATTTACTCTGTATAGCAGACACCAGAATATATCACAGAATACTGTCTTTGTCTGTGCAATACTCGCGTTCTGTCTGGGGATAAATTTAGCACGTGACTATTACAATATGTAACACGCGATCTCGAATCCCGTAAGACATTAGGGTTAATACATCTACTGCAGCCACACCTGCACTAGTGATCCCTAGTGCAAGATAATCTGTTGGTCCCCATCACTCTTCAGGCTAGTTTCGAATTTAGAGTTGTCCTTTTCCAAACTTGGTTTGTTTTACTAAGTCTAAAAAACATGATCAGATATATTACTTACGACAGTTTTCCTTCTTCTTGACTAACTGCCAAGAGAGTCCAGGCTGTGCTGATATTTAAGCCGTAGTGGAAGAAAGTTCGGTTCTAGCCTTTTCTGAGGGCATTTATAAATTCGAATAAACGAAACAGATTCGGCCAGAATGTAAACTCGGTTCAGCCTTTGTACGTCCCGCTCCGATATCCATTACATATCAAGCATCACAAAGTCAATGCTTTCTTGTCGAGAAATACCTATACACAAATGATATGGAACATAAGTTTTCTTCACCAATTTAGGTTTCGCTTGTAGAAATTGCCCTTAGAACAAGGTACGGTCTGCAAAAATCGCCCTTAGAACAAGGTACGGTCTGCAAAAATTGCCCTTAGAACAAGGTAGGGTCTGCCAAAATCGCCCTTAGAACAATGTACAGTCTGCAAAATCGATCTCCGTTTACCAGATACAACTTATCGTAAGGCAAAACAAAACATTATCAGACTTAGCTTTGAGAAATATTTTTTTAAATTATGTGCTTACTGCTATATCAGGTTGAAACACCGTATGATCACTAAAGTTAAGCAAAATCGATCCTGTTCAGTTTCTCGATGGGTGACTGATTGAGAATACCAAGTGCCGTAAGACATGTGTGTTGTGTAATGGATAAGGGCTCGGAATTGTTAATCAGAAAGCCGGGTTTCAATTCTCGTTGATTTCGTTACATTCACTTATGCGCAAAGGCCCTTAGGAACGGTATGAATCCACCTTTTCTCCCTCAGCTATGGGTTAATTAGTAAGACTTGTGTCATTAATCTATTATCATTTCACCAAAATAAAAATTCTTATATTCCCCAAAACTATTTTCTGGTTTTAAATAACATGTTAATGTGTTGATAAACCGTAAAACAAAAGCAAAATGAATAATCTAATCAGAGGTTGTGTTTATGAGTGTATCTGCAAATATCGACCCGAAAAGTGACGCCATTTTGACGGACTTCTTACCCGCTCTTTAGTGGATGCAGTATCAATATCTTTTAGTTCTCACGCTGAATTGTCCCGATTCTAAAATAACTAGAAATATATAACTATTTTGTGTAAATATTTGTTGGTGTTTTTTTTTTATTTTTATTTTTTCAATAAATACGTTTTGTTGTACAGTGGTTCACAATCAGAAAATCTTTTTTTTTCTATGTAACTAGCTCCTCTTTGGCGTAAATAGGAAGCCATTGAAAAATAGCACACCAAAGAAATCAAGGCTTAGCGTTTCAACTGCAAATACTCACTAATGAATGTCATAGGAGCATCAGATATTCAAAGTCTGTGCGTAAGCGAGGCAAAAGAAAGACTTGTTGTGAAAACACTTTTCTCCATTTAATGTTGGTACGTTCGTTATACTTCCGGTTATAAATGCTGTCGTTTGCAAAAAAATGGAAGACGCCTGTCTACCTTCTGTTTATACTTTCTTTCTTTTAATTTCTTTTTTTTTTCCTTTTCTTTTTTTTTTTTTTTTTTACGAAGAAGGAATCGTTTAGCTAACAACATAAACATCTGTAAACGCTATTTATTGATTCTATGGGCCTTTTTTATCATTGACGAAAATACGCTAAATTGAGGGAAAAAAGAAGCTGATTTCCTATGGAGTAAGAAGAGTGAGAAAATAAAACTAAAAAGAGGTACAAAAATCAATAGCATCCTTTTATATCGAATCAACAGTCTGCCAGTCACGATAAGAGATATTTGGTTTATTTTAGATTATACATATATATATATATATATATATATATATATATATATATATATATATATAAAGAAATCTGTTTATGTATTTATTTTCAAATAAATAGTTTTGCAGCTGTGTTCATTAATTCAATGGATGCGGCTACGACAACAAATATAATCAAATGGGTGCAAAACATTGTATAATGTATAATCAAACGATTTCGAAAACAGTAGCAAGGGAAAAAAACAAAGAAGAAGTGCGTAATATGTTAAAAGTGGATTAAATTCGGAAGAACGGTTGGAGGAGAGGAAGAGAAATGTGGGAGAAGGGAGAAGTGAGAAAACGAAGTTGAGAGAGAGAAACGTCCCGGGAAAGATAGAGAGAGAGACATGAGAGACTGTTAGATAAATAAGGGAGAGAGAAAGAAAAATTAAGTGAATGTAAGAACGCATAAGAGATAACAAGAAAGAAAGAAAGAAAGAAAAGAGTACTTATAGCAATTATACAAAAAATGGAAATTTGATAGGGAGAAAGATGTTCGACAGAACGGAGTAGAGAAGGAGACATAAAAGAAGCGTGAGAGGGAATGAGATATGACGAGAACGAGTGAGGAGAGTGTGGTGAGTAAAGAAAGAAAGAAACAAACAAAGGAAGGAAGGAACAAACAAAGAAAGGAAGTAAGAATAGTGGTGGTCAATATAGATAAAAAAATAAAACATAAAAATAAAGAAAGAAAAAAGAAATGAAGACAGGGATAATACGTAGAAAGAAAGAAAGAAAGAAAGAGAGTACTGATAGCAATTACAGAAAAAATGGAAATTTGATAGGGAGAAAACGTTCGACAGAACGGAGTAGAGAAGGAGAAATAAAAAAAAAGAGTGAGAGGAATGGGATATCACGAGAGCGAGTGTGATGAGTAAATAAATAAATAAATAAATAAATAAATAAAGAAAGAAAGAAAGAAAAAAGAAAAGAAAAGAAAGTGGTCAAATAAAAAATAAATAAATAAATAAAAGAACCAAATAAATAAATAAAGAAAGAAAGAAACGAAAGAAAGAAAGAAAAAAGAAAAAGAAAGAAAAAGAAAAGAAAAGAAAGGTGGTGGTCAATACAGATAAAAAATAAAACGTAATAGATAGATAGAAAGAACCACAGTAAGTAATTTAGGAGGAGAGATAGGGAAATAAAGAGAGAGAGATAATGAATGGCAGATGACGAAAGAAAGAAAGAAAAAAAGAAAGAAAGAAAGAAAGAAAGAAAGAAAGGAAGAACAATGATATGGAATATAAAAATGGTGAAATTTTAATAGAGGCAGAGGTAGAGAAATGAAATAGTAAGGGATAGAAAAAGAGGGAATGGTTAGGCGTTAATGACAGTTGATAGGGTGAGAGAAAGAGAGAAAGAAAACGAAGAGAGTGATGGTGAATATAGAAAGAAAAAGGAGTTGTGATAGAAAAGATGAGCAGTAAGCAAAATAAGAGGAAAAGGGGAAAAAGAGAGGATGAAATCAAAAACATTTCCGAGGAGAGAGAGAGAGAGAGAAAGAGAGAGAGAGAGAAAGAGAGAGAGAGAGAGAGAGAGAGAGAGAAAGAGAGAGAGAAAGAGAGAGAGAGAAAGAGAGAGAGAAATAGAGCACGTACATTGTGTGTATCATCTTTTTTTTAGGTACCGTGTCCCTTCAGGACGTAGATGATCATGGGCCTCTACATCATTTTGTCCCTTGTAGTTTTTAATAAATTTTTTGTTCTTTCTCTTATTTCTCCCAAAACCTGTTCAACAATCCATTTGCTCAAATCCATCATGTATGTTACGGGTTGCTTTCCTCTGTCCCTCTCTCCATCAATCTGTTCTGTGAGTATCAGATTTTCCAAGCCCTCTTTCCTCATTACGCGTCCTAGAAATTTCAACTGCCTTTTCATGATGTTAAGTATAAGTTTCCTTTTGTTTCCATTTTCTCTAAAACCTCGTTGTTGTTCATATATTCGGCCTATTGTATCCTCAGCATCCTTCTGTAGAACTACATTTTGTTGCCTCGAGTCTTTCTACATCTCTGAGGTGATTGTACAGTATTTGCTGTCATAAAGAACAAATGTCACGTAACAGTTCAGAACTCTTTTTTTCGTTTCTAACGAAGTTTTCTGTCTCTTAATACATTGCTTAGCTTTTGGAGGGCATCTTTGGCCATCCCAATACGTCTTCGGATCTCAGTGTTACACTTTTCCTTTTTCGGTTAGAACACTTACCAGATATTTAAATTTTTGTACTTCTTTGGTTGTTAGTATCTCCGATTTGTAATGTGTATTTGTTATGAGATCTTACCCGTAATAATAATAATGGACTATTCCATACTTAATAAATACCGCCTAATAATAATTCAATGGACTGCACGGTTATTCCATACTTAATAAATACTGCGGCCCTCCTTTAGGAAATGGAAACTGAGGCAAGGAGTTAGGAATGCCCAGTTCAAGTTGAGTCAAGAGTTCAAGAGTCAGAGGCAGTCCGAAACAGAGTCGCGTTCAGACAATTACTGCAAGACATTGGAATAGTGATACTGGTCGAGACTACATTGTTCTCTCTACTAAACCTGATTGTTCGTACTAACACTTCTACTTCTCTGTATATATTCCTGTTTGTTATTCCATACCTGTGTTCGAGTTCTTCTTTATTGGACAATCACCGTGGTACAAGGAACCGGACCATAACAGTATTTTAGGCACATCCTTTTACTGACAACCATGAATTATGTCTTATTGCAGTTTATATTTAGTCCTTTCTTCTCGCTTTCCTTCGCTACTTTCTATAGAAGGTTTTTCAGTTTCCTTTCCGTGTTTGCTATCAACACTGTGCCAACTGAATATCCTATGTCGTTAAGATTGTAGCTGCCGATAATGAATCCTGGTAGGACTTCAAATTATCTTAGAATCAGAATCACCTCACTGTGTAGATCGAATAAATCCGGTGTGAAGACATCCTTGTCATACACCATTTTGTATTTTTGTGAATCTGCTGAACTTATGTCCTATCCGTATGAAGGCGGTTTACTGCCATTAGAGGTTCTTGATCATGCCCGAATATGTCAAAGTTCCCGGGGACAAGAAAATATTAGCATTAGAAAATGTCAGTGAGAGAAAGACAATTAATCGTGAAGAACAAAATCAGAGTTTGAGAACGAAAAACAAAATGAGGGAAGGGGAGTACAGATAATGGGTATGGAAGTTGAGAAAAAGAGCGAAGGAGATGGAAAAAAAAAAGAGAGAGAAAAAGATCGTAACAATATAGTAAAGAAAGAATAAAAGGTGAAAAGGAAAGCTTTAGACCAAACGACAAGAGAGAGTGACAGAAGTGAAAAAGAGAGCAGAAAGAGAGTCGCTATTAAAGAGATTAAGAAAACTACAGAGGGGGGATCATAAAAATAAGGAAAGGACGAAGAGATAAAGAGAAAAGCAGAGAGAGGTTATATGGAAGAGCAATGCTTGGACAAGAGAGAGGGAAGTGAGTGAATGAGTGAGAGGGACGCGAAAGAGACAGAAATAGAGGATAGGGACAGGTTGAAAAGAAAAAAAATTGCTGAGAGAAAGAAAAATAAGTAATATGCAGTTTTGACCGGGAATATGAGAGAACAAGGAGTAAAAATAAAACAAAGAAAAGATAGAGAGGGGGTGAAAATAAGTTTGGAGTAAGAGTGAGAGAGAATTAATATATTGAAATGAGATAGATATTCAGGGTGTGAAGTGTAGAGAGAGAGAGATGTATAACAGAAATGGAAGAGAAGAGAATGACTAAAACAGAAACGAATGGAAATTCTTGAAAAAAAATTGAAAGCAATGGAAAGAGAGACAAAGTAAGAGAGAAGCGAATTTGAAAGAGAAAAAAAGAGAAACGAAAGATGGAGAGAAAGGGAAAATAAGTTTAAATTGCGATGGTGACTTAGATCAGAAAGTGAAGGGAAAGAAAAGACAAAAAAAACATGTTGTAGACAGTTGTGCTTTTTCAAATGTCCCACGCTTGCTTCTATACAGGAAGACACCTTTCGGATATTTGACTGGCCAACTCTTTCAAATACTCCCACACGCTGTCGAATGGATTCGCAGGCCCCCATGACACGCTGATGAAGCGCCTCTGAATTATTAATTTCTGCTGCATAAACCAATTGTTTTAGGTGGCCACACCGATAAAATTCCAAAGGAGTGAGGTCGGGGAAACGTGCAGGTCATGGAAACGCTCCTCTCCTACCTATCCATTTTTCATGTTAGATGTCAACCAGTGGATTGCGAACAATGTGACGAAAATGTGTTTGAGCGCTATCACGCATGAACCACATGAGTCTTCCTATTAGCAGGGATACATCCTCTAGCAGGCCTAGAAGTGTGGTCGAGATAAAGTGTAAAGAGTAAATAGCTCCTGTAAGAAGCGTTGGGAGAAGACATGGAACTACCAGACAATCACCTACAATTCCAGCTCACGCATTAATAGCAAACTGGTGCTGGTATCTAACCTGTATTGTCCCATGAGGATTCAGATTCTCTCACAAAATGATGGTTGTGTAAGTCATTCTATCTCTTCCAAATGTTGTCTCAGCCGTAAATAAGACTCAAAGTCAAACAACGGATCGGCAGTTTGTGCAATAAACCACCGGCAAAAGTTCTCCTGTGGTGAGTGATCAGAGCACGAAAGACTCTACACACGTTGCAAATGATACGGATACAGGAGCTGCTTTTGGAATACCCTCTATACGGTACTATAAGATGTACGACATGCTGGGGCCACTTGACGTGTGCTGATACCTGGATCGTATCCGACAGCCTGTAGAATGTGTCCTTCGGGCCTACGAGTGGACATCGGTCTTCCTCGATCCATATTTTGTGGTGCCACGGATCCTGTCTTAGGAACGGGACAATAAACAGCAGGAAATTGTAGTTGACTCAGCCGCCTTCGGTGTGGAAACTCACTCTGATACAGCCGTTATGCTTCGCTTCTATCACCATTCGTGCAGCCGTGTGTAAAAATCATGGCTGCCTTGCACGTGGTATGAATATCCTGCCATTGTTAAACGGAAAAATTCTCAGTTAACTCACTACTACACACTTTTAAAACAGACGAATCACAAGTATACACGAATGACAAATGTAACCTAGTCTTCACGCAACACAGCGTCAATTACCGTAAACTTCCTTAAAACTTCATAACCTAAAAACGAACGATTTGCGGACATATATTTATATGGAGATTTATCCTTGTTTTGGTGTGAGGAACCAACCCCCCAATGGCTGTAAAAGTACTTTTTATTCAATCTCTCTCTCTCGATATATATATATATATATATATATATATATATATATATATATATATATATATATATATATATAAGAGGGAGATTGAATTCAACACCCACGATTGCGTATAAGCATAAAACAGATTGATGGCGCTGGGTGTTGTCTTCAATGTCAATGTTTTACATATATATGTGTATATGTGTGTGTGTGTGTGTGCGCGCGCGCGCGCTCGTGCGTGTGCAAGAGTTTTCTATAAAGCGAATCGAGTTCTCTCAGTCACTGTGTGTCTATCCAGAAATAAATACGCTTAAATTCAACTTCCTCTCTGCCGTGCGCCAACGGCTTGCGGGTAGAATCTCCGACCGACGCCAATTCAGCCGGGTTTAGGACGTCTAGCCACACTGATGAGCTGTGATGCAGCTAAACTATCCGTCTGTGGATGACAATATATATACATATATTAAATTAACAAATTGCTGATACGCAATGAAGAGTGGACGGACAGGTCTGCCAATGCAACTCTGGTGTCGAGATGCTGAAGGTAACATCAATTAGTTAAATGACAAACTTTAACTTATATTAGTCCTGTATATATATATATATATATATATATATATATATATATATATGTGTGTGTGTGTGTGTGCGTATGTGTGCGCGTATGTGTGTGTATACACTTACTAGCACATACATATAGACAGATGGATAGATAGAGAGATAGATTAGCGTGTAGCTATAACGTCATATGTAATTTTCATTTTTGAGAATCAATTGTATTGACGAATATATCATCCTCAGTACGTAAGTGTGCGTGTGTTGTGTTGTGTTGTGTGTGTCTGTCTGTCTGTGTGTGTGTCTGTCTGTCTGTGTGTGTGTATGAAATAGAATTCACCTTATTGCCAAATAATGGAAAATTTGTCACACGCAATGTCACACCCAATAAAATAACGACCGGCACTGAAAAAATATACACTTTTAAAACTGCATAGTATAATCTATTACGTAATAATATTGACATTAATCATAACTAAGTGACCTTTGCCAAACTCACTGAACTAGTGAAATCTTATTGAACTGCATGAGTCGCATTTAATTATTCATGCCATTGTATGACGCGATCCAATTATCTCGGACTACAAAAATAGCTCACGCTTTTCTTTTCCGGCGTATATGTTCCCAGATGAACTGGCAACGCATAGTTTATGTCCAATGCCAGCAGCTCAATAATTTGAGAAAGCGATGCAGTGCCATGAGATCTCCAGCTTTGTCAAAGGCGATATGTTAATAAACAATGATTAAATACAAAGCGATGACCTGATTATTTAATTCCCCATATTATTCGGTATATTATTACCATCTTCATCACAATCGATCAGATCGATCGTTATGTTTCAGACTCCCACGTATTTCTAGGATTACTAATCTGCCGAATTACAGCGAATCATACAAGCATTGGAAATCAGATGGAACAGAACCATCCCAGCCATCTCCTACATAGACTGTATAGACCCCCCCCTTATGCAAAAATAATGTTGTCTATGAATTTTCAGGTGCCCTGGGTGATTTCATCTCCAATAATAAAAAAAAAAACATCAACATTAAATACATACATTCGGCAGACCGACCTGTCACATGTCGAAACTCAGTGCAATCCGTGCACACACACACTAGCACAGTGTGAACGATGAAATATTGGTAGATAAGACCAAAATACACTAGAGCACCCAAGGCAAGGAAAGACTCATTACCCTATTATACAAATAACCAAGATTAAATAAAATAGATGATATCTTGAACTGCATATAATACAGTTAATACACGCATATACTATATTAGCAAAAAAAAAAAAAAAAAAAAAGAAATTGCATTCATTTTTTGTGGCCTCGTTCCCAATAGCTGCTACACATATTGTCACCAAATTGTCCAGTTTACCAAAGAATAACACGGTCTAAACAAAGGAATTCTAAAGAGCACACATATATCACAAATACTATGTATTTATGATACCTGTAGAAAAAATATATTTCTACCTGTATATACAGATGTGTGTATGTGGTCTATGTAAGAAGCGTATTAATAATTCTAGGGTAATTATAAAATATCGCCATTTTTCCTATCTCTTACATACATGCAAACACACAGGCGCACGCACACACACACACACATATATATATATATATATATATGAATTGGGATCAAATATAGAAAAAGTATGGATTTTAATCCGATAGAATGATAAGATAAACACAGATGGAGTCTGCTTAACCAAAGAAAACAAACAACACAAAAATTTTCTTTTCCTCTCCATATTTCAATTTCTGATGAAGGTGACATAAAATCGAAACATGTCAAATTTATAAACCTTTCCAATTTTTTCCTTACCCTTATATATATATATATATATATATATATATATATATATATAAAATCGGTGTCACCCCCCCCCAGCAAGACAGTACACACACTAACTCCCAAAGGCTTACAAAGTGTGGAGAAATTAGGAACAAAATCATTCGTAAGGTATAGAAAGAGAAAAAACCATTCAGGATGAGAGTAGACAGCGATTGACATTGCATTTAAATTTTTGCAGATTAAAGTTTGTTGGAAAGCATGGATCCAGAAGGGAGAAGTTCAAGAAAAGAAACCTTTAGAAAACTACTTACGGCTACATATAGACAGTTCACCTGTAAAATGATGCGATCTTGCAGTCAGTCTAGCCTTGCGCTTAAATTAAAAAAAAAGTCTAGATGTCATAGGGAAGATAGCATCCAAACAATTATCACGAAAGTATAACAAAATTTACAGAGGCAACCTTACGTCAATGGGTAAGTGACAGAAGCCGATCCGCCAGATCAGGACCAATAATATTGCTGATTCTTCTATGGATCTTATCAAGGAGCTTCAGGTAAATAGCAGGGAGGGCGGACCATATATGAAAAGAATATTTTAAGCATGGACGATTGGCAAGCTTATAGATATGCAACCCAAATTTCGTAGAGAAAAGTTGTCTGGCACAGTGAACCAAATTTCTTAGCAGCTGACCTAGCAATTGATTCAATATAGTATTTGCACTTCATGTCAGCTGAGAACGTTAGCCCGAGAAAGTCACTTTCCTGGGGATTAGCATCAGACATGCTGATGGAAGGCAGAGCGGTGTCTCACATGGTTAATGGAGAGAAGTTTAGATTTGGAGGCGTTAAAATTGAAATGCCATCTTTTGCACACCTAAAATACATGCAAGGACACCTACACATGCGCAAAATGGCACTACAGATAACCCGATATTATGCGACTGTTGATCGGAGCAGCCTCTCCAAGCGCAACCAAAGATTTTGGGCTCCGAACGACCAGTCGGAAGCAGTAGCCAGCAAATTGCCAACCGCAGTACCCTCCAAATGGAAATTCACTACCATTGGCCAATCTTATTATCAAAGATTTAAGACAGTTAAATCAATGAGTCCCACGTAAGAGAAAGGAGAACCGATAAACCATAATGAAACAGGGAACAAGGTACGAACCTCTACTCCTGTTCAATAGACATGGAAGTACTGCGAACCGGACGACAGGTGAACTTATCTACACCTATTAACCTGTAAAAAATAAATTGTGAAAGAATCCATGTTAAGTAATGACTTAGTATAAGCTCTCATGATTAGTACCAACTAAAAAATCGGGACATAAAACTTAATTTTTCAGCATTGATAAATAACATGGGTAAGAATATTTTAAATTTTAGATTTGGGGTCGGGGCTGAATAAAAATATTTGGTTATTTAATAGCAATGGAGAAGAGAAAATAACGGCATATATAAGTGAACATTGAAGTCAGATCTGACGATTGCATATAGCATGAAACACACTCTCGCCTGTAAGTGTTGACTGATGTTCACTTATATATTTACACATGCTCTATCTCTGATATTGAACACTTTATCCCATAAATATACCACACATTAAAACTATATATATATATATATATATATATATATATATATATATATATATATGTGTGTGTGTGTGTGTGTGTTTTAGGCAGCAATCCTTCTTTCATGCACATTTCATTGAATACGAAAGAGAAAGTGCTTTTATTTAGATTTTTTATACAATTTTTCATGCGATCTACTAATTTTGTTTATCTTTTCAGATGATAAATTATACAAAAACTGTCCGAATTTTTTTTTTATCCGATTACTTTCGGCCAAACATTTAGTCATTTTCAGGGATTAAATACGTTAACTGTTAAATAAAGAATTTGTTGTATGTATATTTTGAAAAATGAAAAACATTTTATAAAACATACATATAAACAAAACTATATATATATATATATATATATATATATATATATATATATATATATATATGTAGCTGGATTGATGTGAGTTTGCGACACTGGGTTTCATGCTTTTTGTTAGATCGTCAGACAAACTCTTTTGGTTTATTTGATTATCCAAAAGCGTGAAGGGTCACAAACTCACATCAATTCAACTACATATGTTAGATCTATCACTGATATTAAAGCTTTCTAATAAGTAAATATATATATATATAATGTATAAATAATATATATATATATATATATATATATATATATATATATATATATATATATATATATATATATATATATATATATATATATATATATATATATATATATATATATATATATATAATATAATATAATATATATATATATATATATATATATATATATATATATATATAATATAATATAATATATATATATATATATATATATATATATGTGTGTGTGTGTGTGTGTGTGTGTGTGTGTGCTTTAACATAATATAATATATATGCATATATAAGATAAATAAATATGGAAATATATATATATAAAATATATAATTTTAATAAATAAATTGTCGGGACCTTGTCCATTTCTTAACATATATATATATATATATATATATATATATATATATATATATATATATATATATATATATATATATATATATATATGTATATATAATATATATGCATATATATATATGCATATATATATATATGTAATATAATATATATATATATATATATATATATGTATATATATATATATGTAATATATATATATGCATATATATATATATATATATATATATATATATATATGTAATATATATATATATATATGTAATATAATATATATGCATATATATATATATGTAATATAATATATATGCATATATATATATATATATATATATATATATATTAGATTACAATAAAAATTTTACATCGCTACACAGAAGTTTTCATCTTTTAATACTAAGATTGTACTTCCTCAGGCTATGGTAGTTAACTTGTGATAAAAATGATTTACTAGCTTAATTTAAAAGCAAATCGTTACCTCTCTTCGGAAGTTAAAGCGGTGTCCTAAGGTTAGGATTAAAAATATACTTACGGGTATGTCTAGGTTATCCAATTAAACGTCAGATGTACGCTAAACTATAAAAATAAGGTCAGAGGGTGGAGGTCGTTTGGTTATTTTTGCATGTCAATAAAAAGTGACGCTTAGACATGTCATCGAACGATACTAGGAATCATTGCAGCGACAATTTTATTGTGGATGTAAGCGATTATTTCAAGTAGAATGATTTTTAAGATACAATGGTCGAAACTTAATCTCACGAATGTACAATTCTGCTGTTACACGATTTGGACAGTTTTGCTGTTACACTCGGTACCTATTAGCGTGTGTGTTTTGGCGCGTTAGTACAAATATGACCAAACAAATTGATAACGATTGATTGATTCGCAGTCTGAATGTCTCCCAAAGACAAAAGCCATTGGTTTCTGGTGGGTAGTTGTAATCGGCAGCCTTCCCACCCACGGCATCTCGAACCACCGCGACAGCGTCAACGCTATTTTCGCTAGTGCCATTGGTTCCCACGGATATTTTGGAAGTCGATTGTCAATTGGTTAAACAATAAACTGAAAATGGCGGGAAGCAATTCTAGCGAGAAATTAAGCATGACTGGAATAAAGAGCCACGAAACAGTTTCAATGGTGGGAAGTGAAAAAAATAGGATACATTGCTTGACAGGAAAGAAAAGAAAAGAAAGAATTGAATGAAACAGGGGAAAGCTAAAGGGAAACAAAAAGAATGCTAACAAAGACTGAAAGAAAGAAGAAATACGGCGCCTGGTCGATGAAAAAGTGACAAAAGGAAAAGACAGAAATTAGAAACAAAGAAGAAGAGAAAAAAGAAAAGAAAGAAAGAAAAATGAAGTTTGGTAAAAAGAAAAGGAAAAAAGAAGCAAAAGCAAAAAAGAAGAGGAAATTAAAAAAAAAGAAAATTCTAGAAAGAAAGGAGGAAAGAAAGAAAATAAAAAAAGGAAGGAATATGTCGAAGCGCAAGAAAGAAAGAAAGAAAAGAAGGAAATAAAATGAAGAAATAATGATGATAGGGTTGATACGTAGAAAGAAAGAAGGAAAGAAAGAAAAAAAAAAAAAAAACAAACAAGAAATGAAGAAAGAAATGAAGATATGAAAGAAGGAAAGAAAGATGAAAGAAATAATGAAAAAATGAAGGTGGAGCTAATACGTTAAAAGAAAGAAAGAAAGAAAAAGAAATAAAGAAAGAAAGAAAATAAAAAGAAAAAAGAAATGAAGACAGGGATAATACAAAGAAAGAAAGAAGGAAAGAAAGAAATGAAGAGAAGGAAAGAAAGAAAGAAAGAAAGAAAGAAAGAAAGAAAGAGAAAGAAGGAAAGAAAGAAAGAAAGAAAGAAATGAAGAGAAGGAAAGAAAGAAGGAAAGAAATCAATAAAGTCAGGGATAAAACGTAAAAAGAAAGAAAGAAAAAATAAAAACAAGAAAGGAATGAATATCGGGATAATGCGTAGACGGAAAGTAAATGGAGTAAAAGAGAGGAAGAAGAAAAAGAAAAAAGAATTGGAAGGCATGAAAAAAAAAGAAGGAAAGAAATGGAAATAGAAATAAATAAAGAAAGAAAGAATGAACGAAATAGAACGAAAGAAAGATAGAAAGAAAGACTGAATGAATGATATTGAAGGGCAATTGGCGTAAATAAAGAACAACAAAATCAACAAAAAAGCGCCAGAGAATTAAGGAAGGTTCCATGACAAAATACTTCAGGAAGTTTGGAAAATTCTTGAGAAGTTAAGAATAGAAATAAATATCAAATACAACAAATTTAATATTAAACATACATATATATATATATATATATATATATATATATATATATATATATAAGTGCGCAGGTATGCATAAAATAGAAAAGAACACGTTAAGTGCGTAAACTGGAGTTCCTTAGTATTTTTGTTTTTATTTTTGAGAAGACAGTGCTCCATACAGAAGTAGAGTTTTATTATAATAATATTTTTTTGTTTAAAAATATGATTCCTTCCTACATAAGAGTTTTCATGTTTCAAAAAACTAGAGCCGAAACCATCCAAATAATTATTAAAAATTAAGTTGAATTGAGGTGTTTAGTCCCGTTTCATCTTCAAGCGAAATTTTAGGAATAAGCTATCTCTTGGTTTACGTGTGTTTTAGCACGGTCCGTTGCAAAATTCGTTATTGTGGGAATGGCTAGACTATTTTTCTTATTGTCAGAGAGTTAATTCTTATCAATAGAATCATTATCTTCTGTGAGGTTTTTCTAAGGTTGGGTAGGGTATCTATTTCAAAGGCTAATGTTTGCGGTCACCCTTTAGTTAGTTCCCAGTGAGGGATATTTTATGGCGCGCCTACAATCGTTATGTGTCTGGAGAATTGTCTTTATTATTGTCCATCTGATTATCTATTTATTTATTTGTTTATTCAAGTGGGTGTTTTATATAAAGATCGCATTGCACTGAATTTCAATTTGTTTTTTTTGTTTTTGACGACTACAAAAAGGGTTTTTCCTATTTAATGATTTGGCTAAGCTTTTTAAGATTTTATTTAGCTATGGATTTTTTTAATGCTAATTATTTAATGCGAAAGTTTGTTGATGTCGGCAAAAACCGTTAACTCCTGCCTATGGTTTAATACTTTTTCATTATTTAGAAATTTAATGATGTAGTTTTTGTAGATATAAAGGGCATGGGTCATCCCAGGTTTTAAGTTCTTGTTTTATTTACTATTTTCCATTTTACTTTTGGTGTTTTATTCGTTTCTTTTAGATGCCAGAAAACATTGGGATAGAGATGTCGATTTCTATTTTTGAATATAATTGAAGGAGCTCTTGTGTTGCCTCCATCTAATTTTTTTAAAATTATTCTTCGTTGAGCCTATGTATATCCTATCAGTGTTAGTACTCTCCATGGATGAGATAGCATTGGTATACCACGGATTTAGTGAGACATTTATTTTCCAACGGGCAGTCTTTAGGGTTTCTAAATCACATAATTTTTCGTTATTTTTATCTAATTTTAGTTTATGAGTTTCATTACTGTTTTGGCATGCGTGTTTTTCTAGTATTTTCTTATGTCTTTTTATGATTCTTTCTAGATTTTCAGTGCAGTTGTAACTCAATTTTAAGGTGTTTTTGTTAAAGATGTCGCTAAGTTTGCTATTAGTGGGAAAGTACTTTTCAATTAAAGCTAGGAACTTATGGCCTAGTTTGGTGCTGACCATTTAGTTGTACGGAGGGTATACCAGATGATCTTTTCTTTTCCTGTTTTTCTTATTATTGGTACTATCGTTTATATAAGGTTATGTCAGCGTTTTTGTATCCGCTATTTTTCAGGGTTGTGTTATAAAAACTACTGTGTTGTCGGAATATTTCCTTATTTCTTGAGTTCATACTTATTCTTTTCTCTATTGATGTGGGTATATGGTTAATTATAGATGGAGGGTGGTTTGACTTAGGGTGTACATACAGGGGATTAGTATTAGGTTTTGTGTAAAGTAGGTGAACGTTGTTCGTTAAGTCTAGGGTTACGTCTAGGAAGTTTACTCTTTTTAATTTTTTGTTGACTATTGTTTTTAAATTTAGTTTCCCGAATTCTTTATAAATTATCTTTCTAATTTTCTCTGTTTTAAAATTTGTGGAGCTCCTCGCTACCATGAGTCCGTCATCTCTGTATAGCCCGATGTCCCTAAGGTCTAGTTCACGGTAGGCGGTTAGATTGTACAGTAAAAATAGACCGACAAGGTCCGAAGATTCTGCAGAGTCTAGGGATCACATGAGGGAGAGAGAAAGAGAGAGTGAAAGCGTTTATGGGAAATTGAATTTATTAAAATACACCGTATATACACGCGTATCATTCTACGTTTGAAGACATCATTTTTAAGCTAATACACGATATATAAAATTAGCGTATGTACTGATGACCCTGGCTAAGCCGTTGACAAAACTATATATCCATTTACTGTAGTCAAATTAACTTCAAAATTAGGTCTTCAAAGAAGCATACTGCGCGAGTATATACTGTATGATATGTATTTTAAAATTACTTACATTATTGACATAAATTTTAATATTTGTTGCATCTCATAAGCGTTATAAACTGACATCGTCTCATCTGTTAATTTTTCGATAAT